TAACCCATGTTTCCCACTTTTGCTCTGTGTCGGGGTCGCATCTCTACCAATTCAACATCCATCCATGTGCAAGACGTCAGCATCAGCATCACAGGTCACAATAACTTAGTCCACCCCCTTTATACGTACGCAAGATCCAATCATCATCCACATGATTCGGGTGCAGACCGGCAGCATCGGACAAATACTGTCGACTGTGCTTGAGATCATTAAAAGCAGAAGAGGGGTGAGAAATCGACAAATGCTTACGCATCAATGTCTTTATCTTTCTCCGCACAAGAAACTTGCTCGAGTTCAAACAGAACACCATTATTATCTTTTGGGTGCAGGAATAGAACCGGATTGTTGTGAGCCCCTAGCTTCGGTTCACCGTTTCCAAGCACTCCCACTCCAGATTTCTGCATGTGCTTCGACGCCGAGTGGATATCATCAACCGTCACGCAGATGTGATGCAGGCCCCCCTTTGGGTTCTTCTCCATGAACTTTGTGATAGGACTGTTGTGACCAAGTGGATGCAGAAGCTCAATTGTTGCCGTGGACAAGTGCACAAAGACCACAGTGACACCATGCTCTGGCTGGTCCAGCGGCTCACTCACTTGGGCGCCAAAAACTGTTCTGTAATGCTCTGATGCTTCGCCAAGATCAGGCACCGCGATAGCGATGTGATTCAACCCCTTTACAGTAAAGGGGAACATATCGGGCGGGTTCCTTACAGCAAGTCCACCCGACCGACCTCCACTTCCAGATCCCACACTTGTATATTGTCGAACTCCCACTGTCCATGGCCATCCCCTGCTGTTCTTCGGGATCACCTCCTGTTTCACATAATACGACGTTCTGGCGATGGCTAAACCCCTCCTTCCCCCACAGGGAGACCCCACAACCTTGGATTCGACGTGCCTCAGCACCATATCGCCGGCCCGCCGCACAAGAGCTCGGCACCTAGTCGCAAACATGCTGCCGATTCCACTCCCTGGCACTCCCCTCCGATTGTCTTCGGGCCCTTCGGCGACGCGCTCAAACGTATCTTCCCTAAACGCTGGCTCTCTCCTACGCGCGTGCACACTGCATGGCACTGCTCGCCTTCAATACCCCACAAAATTCAGCACACACAGAGCTGGCTACAACAATAATACTTGGGACTACCCCACTTCGACAAAAACTGAAAGAAAAAAAACATTGAAAAAAGGGAATTTTAAGAAGAACAGAGGGAAAAGAACGGACTAGGAAGGGGAGAGGAAGGGGGGAATGGGGAATAAAGCGAAAAAGAAAAGGTAAACAAAAGGAGGGGAGAGAAGGGTGGAGAACCCAGACAGGAAGGCACCAGGACAGAGAAGAGGGGAGGGGAGGGCCCGGAGGGGTGCTAATAGAGAAGTTGAAGAACAATGGGGGGAGGGCGGGACCAAAAGGTTCTAAAAACAGCATTTCAGAACACAGTCTAGCACAGAATTGGTTCCCAAAAACAAAACAAAAACAAGAACCAAAAACTTCTTGTTTTTAGAGAATGAGCTCTCGGTAGCTTCTGGCTGCTGCTCATCAGTAGAACAAGGAGCGGCCGTCGGTTTCATCGGTGGATTTTTGTGCTTCTGTTTCTTTATGATCGCTGCCATCATCGAGTATGAGTAATTTAATTTCGATCCATCGACATGCAGCTACACATCATCATCATCATCATATTTTAATCCGCTAAGGGTTTCGTTTCGTTTTTCTTTTCACAATTTTGTGGGCATGCATCATTCCTCTGACGTTTGTACAGCAGCAGTTGATCTTACTGATTCTCTGTTTCCTACCGGTCGAGTGGAGCGCTCAACGAAAGTTGTTGACATGATATAGATATAGATGGTAGTTGTAATTATTATCATTAGTTAGTTCATTGGAATTGTGCAGCGTGGCTGCACCGGCTTTAGGGCCTCGCTCCACTGCTTCTCACCAAATGTGCAAAATGAGAATGAATATCTCGCGAGAACTTGGGAAAATACACACCGCCATCTTTTGTGTCTTTTCTGCATGTGGTGAGTAGTGGAGCGAGGCCCTTGTGTGGTATACATATTGTCACACTGTGAATCAGAGCGCAAAGGCGG